GATGATTATTTGACTGAAGATTGAAATGGGCTGGTCATGGGCAATAGTGCCCACTGGTTATGAAGCTCCAATTCTGTGCCAGGTTTTCCTTTGGACCTTATAGCAATCCTTCAAGGTAGGGATTATTTGTTTTAAAGAATTAAAAACTGAAATTCAGTAGTGGAACCAGCATGGCTCATGGTCATGTGATCAGAAGAGGCACACTTTAACCCAGCCTTGACTGACACAAAACCAGAGTGTTCTTTCTACTATGCTGGTCAGTTTTCTCTGCATCATATCCCTGTGTCCTTGGACAGTGTCACCACCATCTCCATAGGGAATGAGATGGTGACTGCCTTTTCTGATGGTGCTGACACATAGTTTAATTAAGTCATTGGGAGATGACTCAACAATCTCCCCCTGCCCTGAAAATTCATTCACCCTGCTCTCTTCTGCTGCAGTTCTACCTGTTTGTGAAACCATGTTATTCAGTTGCAACATGTTCTCAAACAGTCATTCATTGTTTGCACTCATCTATTCAACATTTACGAAGCCCCCACTAAGTGCCAGCCATTCTGCTAGGTCCCGGAATAGAATAATGAAAAAGGAGACCAGGCTAATGGGGACAACAGATGTCTAAACACAAAATTACAATGTGTCATTAAGTGCTATGGAATTACTAAGGGAAAATATTGATTTTGTCATTTATTCAGTCGTTTATTTATTTTCTCTCTATTTATGGGGTCTCTACCATGCACTAGGCAACAGGCCCATTCTAACATTTGTAAGCCAGGACAAAGCTAGACATGGGAGCCATCAGTCTGAATCTGCTCCTCCTACTCTTTTCTTCCCATTTCTGAGACCATCAAATATGTGTGTGGACCCCTCCATCCTGCATGTATAAGTTTTTAACTACCTATCCACAGGGCCTTTTACAACCAGTGAGAAGTTTCTATGGACCTTAGAAGCAACTTTTGGCTTGTTTGAGTAGGAAGTGCTGGGGTTTGGGACACAGAGAGTGGTAGGGGGGTTTTGAGTGGGCATGTCCTTTGGCTCTATTCACTCCTTCCTCTGAAGTTGGGGACAAGGACAAGGAAAAGCCAGAGGGACTCAAAAAGGCAGCCTAAGCATCCCAGCATCACGGGGGAGCTCATTAGAAATGCAGGCTCTCAGGCCCCACTGCAGTTCCTATGAATCAAAATCTGTGATTTAACAAGATCCCTAGGTGATTCCATTACACTCTGCCCTAAGGGCCCTAGTCTAATCCCCTCTTTTTATAAATGAAGAGACTGAGGCTGGCTAATACCCAGGGCAGGAGGAGGGGCCCCGTTTGGCGCCAGATTCCCCCAGGTCTGAGAATATACGCCTATATTTCCTGGCACCTAGGTATACTCTAGTGGAAAATATGTGCTAGAGCAAATTTGAGAAGAAATATCTTTCAAATAACTCAGATTAACAGAGGCCTAGAATAAGAGATTTATGGCAAGGGACCCATGGAAGAGAATTCCACTAAGTTGCCTGCAAAGTAATTAAAGGAAAGTCAGTGATAACAAATCACCCCAGGTAAGAAGCTGAGGAAGGATTGAGGAACTTTTGTGTGTGTTGTTTGTTTCTGGGTCCAATGCAAGTGAGCCACAGGGGACTTCCATAGGCAAAGTGAACTGTCCCCCATTTTTTTGTCCCGTTTGGCCTTTATTTGCTATATTATTGTTTTCCTACTCTTTCTGATGCCTCCATATTTTCCTGTTTTTCCTCTTTGCTTCTCCCTTAACTCAGATCACTCACTATGCTCTGAAGAACATACAACAGAGAGAAGTGAACAGAACATGATTTAAAAATACGGTCTAGTGCCTGTTGCATGACGTAATCGTACTGATTCCTGTTGATTTTAATAAAACATATTATGGGGCTGGAGGTGTAGCTCTGTGGTAGAGCTGGTACTTTGCATCTGTCAGGCCCTGGGTTCAATCCCCAGAACCATAAAAAGTTATGTAATTTTTACTTATACATAAAATAGAATTGTATTTTTATACCAGTCCCTTCACCCAGCTACAATTATCAACATGTTGCCAGCTGTGTTCCAGTTTCATCTCTCCTGTCTTCCCATCTCCATTTCTCTCCTCTTTTTTATTTTCTGCCTTTCCTACCTCCCTCCTTCTTTCTCCCTGTCCTTTCTCTTTCTTGCAGGTGTTTATTAAAGCAGATCCCAGACATCCTATCATTTAACTCATTTCCTACAGAATTTCCTGGAGCCAGGGCCACAAGAGAGCCCAGACTGGGTGAATGATCTCTTGTGATTGTATTCTTCACCAAAATATGGAATTCATGTCACCAAGATAAGGGAAAACATAACATTTCTCAAACCCCTAGGTGATATTCCAGAGAGTACAGATTTTATCGTCTGTCTCCAAGACCTTCCCCTGGAGTCTTAGAGGGGGGTCTCTGAGCACTTTTTAATCTTCAAAGGGTAACAGAATAACAGAAATTTGCATGTTTGTAAGCCTGAAAAAAGGTATATTCTCTTACTTTTGGCAAAGCATATTCTTAGAGCAGCATTTTTGAAGTTCAGATTTGTCAATGCAAAGTTTGAAGAGAGCTTCTATGACGAGGAACCAAGCTCATATTTTCCCTTGTGGCAACTCCCTGAGTGGATTAGTGTAATGGTTTTAGAGAGGCTTTGAATCTGCAGCTAGATGTGAAAGCACGATACACAGATGTTTTAATGTTCACACATGTCAGATCTATGAAGTGCCAAGTAATTTGGAGGCTTGGTTATTTTCATTAGTAAATATCATCCAACTAAATTTGGGTGAAATGCCCTCTAAATAAGTCAAATAGACAGGGGCTTTGAATGAGGAAATTAATTATAGCTGGTGTCCTAAGGAAAAGAATCCCACTGTGGCATAGAGAATGTAATTAATGGGAGGTAAGCGCCAACAAATCACTCCTTAAAATATTAATGCTATCAAAGAACAGCTGGATAATGAGAGAAACCTGACCCTTGGGGGACTTGCTGAAGTTGCTATTGCTGTTGTACAACTTCATGAGGTTGCAATGTAATAAAAGTCCTCTAAAGTTTAAGAAAAAGAATATGAAGAGGTGTGGTGCTGGGAAAGTTATTAGCAGTGAACGTGTCTTTGAGTTTTATCATTTTATAAGGGTCATTACCCCTCACCTCTGCTGTGGTTGTGAATGACTTTTCCTTTAATTATTCAGAATATAACAACAATCCAACCAACATTCCAAAAAAAAAAAAAAAAACCAAAACAGATTTTTAAAAAGCCAACTTTAACCCTGGAAAGAACATTTCTATGTATGTGTAAATAAAAACCAAGAACCTAAGAAATTTCTGCAAAGCAATTTCCCATATGCTTAAATTAAGTTGTTCAACTAAACCAAGCAAAACTTTATCATTATTTGCCTAGGCTTAATTTGGTTTTACTTAATAGCTTATTATTGTCCTAAGGTATGTCTTTTTTAAAGGGTGCAATAGTGTTAAATATTTACATGGTTCTACTTAACGTGTAGAATGATAGGCAATTGTTTTTATAGCCTTATAATTAAGTGATAATCTCAAGATTTAAGGTTAGAAATCAGAAGTCATTCTTTACCTGGAATACAATTTAGATTTTTTTTTCTAAGAAATCATTTTGTTTAAGGTTAAACAAAAAGGTTTCACTAGGAGCGACTCGGGGCGGTCAGGAAGCTGCGGGAGTAATAAATACTTCGGACCCTACACTTGTATTGCTGGTGCCTTTTGCATACTGCGTTCCTTTTGTTTCACTCAACTTGCCAACATTTAAATCAGTGGCACGAGTATTCAGTGTGTTTAACAAATATGTGGAGATACGACGAAGATACCCCGCACCTACCAATAAACGACGAGAGGAAGTTCAGGATGCAGTAAAAAGAAATTCTTGACTTGAGCCCAGATTTCACAGAACTCCAGTTTCACAAGGCACTTAGGCCGCTAAAGGAGCAGTGCCCCTGGAAATAGCACACAGGGGACACATCATTTAAATAAATGTGTTTCTTTGCCCGAACAGAAGTTCAGATCTGCTCAATTATCATTAATTTTGTCCTTTTATTTCCTTTGCGGGCGTGAACTGAGAAGTCCTGCTCTTTGAGGTTTTGCGAGTTGGCCTCAGCTCGGTGGAGCTGACCGGTGATTCTTCACCCTGCGGCGCCTGGCTTAGAGGTGGGGGAAAGGGCGAGAGTGTGTCGATTTATGAAAAAGCGGAGGCGGAGGTGGAAAAAGTTCGGTGCACAAGTCGACTGCCACTAAAAATGTCATCGGTACCGAACCCTTAGAATCAGTGTACCAGGACGAACCCGGGTCTGAGCAACAGAAGACAGATGACTCGACAAACTTTAGTCACCACGCTCACCACGTTTATTTATCATTTATTTCTTATTAAATCGATAAGAAGTAAAATCAATACCTCCACTCGCGAGCCAACGCGCGTAGAGAGACGCAGGAACCCGGCAACCCTCAGCCTCATTCTGCGGAGTATTCCGAGCTATGCAAGAACTAGGGTGTAGGGGAGAGCGCCCGGTCCCTTCAGGTTTAGAGTTCAGTCCCCCGAGAGCGCGGTGGGCGGGGGTGGCTGCGGAGAGGCGGGGGATGGCGCGCGAACCAGAAAGTGCGGAGGACCGGCCGCTGTGATTAGCTCCGGCAGTGCGACCCCGGAGGGCGGACTCTCTCAACTCTCGCCTCCTCCTCCCTCTTCCTTTTTAAAGGACGCCTTGCAGGCAGAGCTGTCAGCAACCAGGAGGCCGTTTGTACTTGGCCGCGGCCCCGCTGTCTCCAGCTCCAGTGACAGACAGGGGCTGGGGTTGAGTAGCCACTTGTCCGGGGGACCCGCACGTGGGAAACCAATTCTCTTCCCTTCGGGCTCCGTTTAGGACCCGGCGACAACCACAAGTCGGGACACTGAGCAGCCCTGGAGTTGACAGCCCAGGACGCGATGGCTTGCGTGAGGAGTGGAGAGAGAGGTGGCCAGGGACTCGGTGCTCCCCTCCTTCCCAGAGCGCAATGATCTGGGCAAAGGGCGGCGGTAGCAGCCCCAACAGCAGCCTCGGCCGGCGCCTCCTGAGGGCTCTAGCCAATCTGCCCCCACGCACCATGCAGACCCCCTGCCTGCGGAGCCCGCAGCGCAGCCCCTGCTGCCTCCCCGGCCCCTGCTAACCCACGAGGGCGTAGCATTGATTGCGGGGACCTGCCGCACGCGTGGTGCCCGGGGTGAAGCGGAACCGCGGTGTGCTTGAGGCCCACGCTCAGCACTTCGCTTTCTCGCTTCGAGCCCCTCCTGCCCGCTCGGGGCGCCCAGCGGCGATGGGGGCGCTGGCGCTCTGCCTCCTATTAGGCTGGCTGCGCTGGGGCCCAGCGGGCGCCCAGCAGTCCGGGGAGTACTGCCACGGCTGGGTGGACGTGCAGGGCAACTACCACGAGGGTTTCCAGTGCCCGGAGGACTTCGACACGCTGGACGCCACTATCTGCTGTGGCTCCTGCGCGCTTCGTTACTGCTGCGCCGCAGCCGACGCCAGACTGGAGCAGGGAGGCTGCACCAACGACCGCGGTGAGCTGGAGCACCCGGGCATCACAGCGCGTAAGTGCCGGGCCGGGGCGGGGAGACCGTTCCACAGGCGCGTGAGTGTGTGCGCGCCAGGCCTCCCTGGGTCTGCAGGCAAAGTGGAAGCAGCAGGGTAGGGGATTCAGATTGGAGTGGGTGGTCGCGTATCAGGTAAGAGGGCCCTATTTGGTTGCAGTCCGGCTTCCCGCCATACGCAGTCTCCCAGTGTCGGCCCAAGAAAAGTTTGTAAGGGACAGAGAGAGTCGCAAGGGCTTGCACCTGGTGGCCCTGGGGATGACATCTGGAGCTCCCAAGAAAAGGGCCTTTTAGGCGGTTTTTTTTTTTTAACGGGGCGCCCCGGCGCCCCAACGCGCTCCATAGTCACTTCAGGAGCTTTGGGAAGTTCCGTTGGCCGGGGAGCGCGACTCTCGTCAGGCGCTCATCTGTGGCTCCGTAGGGGTAAGAAACTTCAGCCATTCCTTTTTTAAAATTTATTCTTTTTTACCAACCCCCTCAGCCCCCTTTTATCCTTTGGTAGCGTTTCTAAGCCCATGCCCCATTCTCCCGACTTCCTTTCATTTCTCTGCATCGTATTACCCTCCCAGGCCCACCCCTATTGTCATGCCTTTCAGAAATACCCAGGTCTTCTAGGTGGAGATTTAGAAAACAGGGTCGCTGGGGGCTTGCCCGCCCCCTATTCTCACGTCGGAAAACGCGGGTCGAATTTCCGCTCACTTCAGAGCAGAATAAATCACGACCCCAGCAGAGGAAATTTACACCTTGGAAAAAAGTTTTCCACCTGAATCAGAACATCAGGGAAAACTTTTAGAGCTCCAGGCGATGGTTTTATGGCCCGGAAACCGGAGAAGCAGGCGGAGCTGAGAGTGGTGACTCCCCAGGACTCCTGACTAAGACCAGAAGCCTTCAAGGGAAGGTCCTAGGGAAAGTCTGGGAGAAGCTGGAGAGTTCTTTAACAGTGCCTGGGTCCCCAGTCCCCCAAACAGATGACCAGAGGAAAGGGAAGCCTGCTCTCCTTTCAGTATTCCGTCAGACTCTCCTGGGATTTAACTTGGGAGTGGGTGTCAAATTTTCCCATCTAGATATGGGAAGCAGTTCCTGGAGAAAAAGAAGTGGAAGGTAGGGAACTCTAGGCAGTTCTGGCATGTTAGCAAAATATAGACTTTGGCTTCCCTCCACTTGCCCTGGGAAACAGGTTTCGCTCAGCAGGGATTCCTATCTGGCTGCTCTGGTGCCAGAGGACAGCAGGGAAGAGCACTGATCAATCTCCCTACCTACGGGAGTCTGAGATCAGGCATACCCTTGATGGGTGGAAATGCCGTTACTTTCCAGTAGTGCAACCTGGGGCAAATTACTTAACAGCTCTGGGCTTATTCCCAGTTTTAAAATAGGCATATTGTTCTCAAAGGAGTTAGTCTGCTGATTAAAGGAGTGTATGTGAATGCTTATCACAGTGATCAGAAAGTGATATTCACCTTCACTGTGTACCTTCCACACCAGTGCTGTTAACATGGGAGAAGGAGGGTCACTGAAAGGTGTTTGATGATTATCTGCCAGTCACTGACTGTGACTGTGGGAAGTAAAGAACTGATAGATTTCCACATCAGAGCTTGCACATCCCACAGAGTCTTCATGAGCCTTGAATCAGGAAAAGTAAGCCAGGCACACAGTAGAGCCTTAGTCAAAGACTTTCTGTCTTCTACATCTGAATTGTAGGCTGCATCCCAGTGTGGTTCTGTTAGACAGGAGAGAGACCTGGAAAACTGTCTGTCCTGTAGAGGGAGAAGGAAACTGGAATTTGCTCTGTTTGATGGTTGCTCTTACAGAAAGTCCGGGTTGCATCCAGATCTATCAACAGTTCACCTTGACCTTCCCAGAGTTTGGGCAGGAATGAAAAGAGATGTGGCAGGTGGACTAGGTATCCCAAATCACTTTTGAATAGAAGCAGTCAGAGCTGACAATTTGTGATGCAAGAGGAGACATAGTAAATTGGGGCCCACTATGGACTTCTTTATGCTGCTATTTCTGGTGTTTCATAGATCCCAGGGGTCTCATTTAACAGGTTGGATTCTCTTTGCTTAGATTGTAGATTCTTGGGAAGGAGATGGGTTGTCAGACTAAGAGATGGATTAAAGTCCTAAGTCTCCCACCATGATACTACTAAAACCTGGATTTAAACCCAGTTATAGTGACCATCAAAAATCACCCTTGCCCTCCATTGTGTGTACTGGAGAATAGATTCTGTTGTTTTCTGACTTCCAGATGTGCAATACTATGGCTAATTGCTAACAGAGGCTATACTATCAGTTTGCTTCCTCCCTTCAAGGAGTAGCAAGAACATATTGTCATTACAGTTTGCACTTTGGAGGTTACCAGTAATAACTCTGGAAAATTGAGCTTGCAGTAGTGGTAATAGTGACCTCTTGCCTCCCACCCCTAAGCTGCCCAAGCACAGCTCAAGCTTAAGAACCTCTTATCTGAGCATCCGTGTATGTTTGTTTTTGCCTTTTAGAGCCCGTGTATGTCCCTTTCCTGATCGTCGGCTCCATCTTCATTGCATTCATCATCCTGGGCTCTTTAGTGGCTATTTATTGTTGCACCTGTTTGAGACCCAAGGAGCCCTCGCAGCAGCCCATCCGCTTCTCACTCCGCAGCTATCAGACAGAGACCTTGCCCATGATCTTGACCTCCACAAACCTCAGGGCACCTTCTAGGCAGTCCAGCACAGCCACCAGCTCCAGCTCCACGGGTGGCTCCATCCGTAGGTTCTCCTTCGCCAGGGCTGAACCTAGCTGCCTTGTGCCTTCACCACCCCCACCTTACACTACCGGCCATCCAATCCACCTGACCCAACCGTCAGGTTTCCTGGTGTCACCCCAATATTTTGCCTACCCACTTCAACAGGAGCCCCCACTGCCTGGGAAGAGCTGTCCAGACTTCAGTTCCAGTTGACAGGTCATGGCCAAGAACCCACCACAGTAAAATGGCAGACAGATGGCACACTGCTGTCATTGCCACACTCATTTCTGAGGACTTTTACCTGGTATACTTGTCCTGGAAGAGAGTGTTGGGAAAATACAGCTCCTTCTAGTCTTAAGGTTCCTGGGTCTAATCGCAGAAGGTCTGGATTTGCAAACCTGATGACCATTGCATTTCAATATATGCTCCTTTTATTCAAAATATGTAGCAGTTTGACTTTAAAGTTGCAAACTCGCTGAAAATATTTCACTGGGTAACTCAGCTATACTGCCTAGAAAATGACTACATGTTCTTTTTTCATATGCTTATCGAGTTGTAATACAAATGCATACGTGAATAAGGAAGGAAAAAGACCTAATTGTAATTATCAAAGGTTCACTTAAAAATTAACTATTAAGTGAATTGAGGGGGCAGTGAACCATCTATTTATGATTTGGGGAATAACCATATCATGAATAATATTAGCATGATGAGAACATTTACTTCTTAAATTAATAACTAAATTTTGTTTATAGTGAGTTCTTTTCAGAATACAAGGTTTCAGTAACCACATGAAGAGTTTAAAGTTTTAAATATATAGACGTTCATTGTAACACGGATTCTGCGTAAAATCGCTTCCCCCTCCCACCGAGGGAATATTTATTGCAGACTTTTTGTTCAGCAACATTTAGTGTTTAAATGAAAGTTGGACAATTGAGTCTTAAAACCTGTATTTGTAAAATGAGTTATGTATAAATGTAAAGATTTGTAATTTAATGTATTTACCACATTGACGATACTAATTATTTAGTAGTCACACTGTAATTTTTATGTTAATAACAACTGTGGAATTCAAAGTTTAGCTATTGCTATAATCCTCCCTAATGTTATGTATCTCAAGTGCCACCGAATTCCATGTCTGATGACTACGTATTTGGGTATATATGCTGCTGGGTTAGAATAAATAAAGTATGTTTTCATGAACTCTGTCTGAAATATTAAATGAAAGTTCTTCATTTTATCTCCTTAGTGATAATTCTTTGCTTTTCAATAAAAAGAAATGCCTTTACTTAACACATAGCTCATATTTTAAAATTAAAAGAAATATCTGTATCAGGGCTTGTGAAAACCACAAAGAAGGTAGATTTTTATAGCCATCTTAGACTATGGGCTGCTTGCAGCCCTTAGATGTGTCATTTGGCCTATGAGAGTTTAAAAATCTGGACATTCTCCTAAGGATCTGCATTTCTGGCTTCTCATGACATATAGAAGATGTGGCACCGTGAGTCCTATGCTGCCGTGGGGTCCAGCAGCCCTCTCAGACAGGACGCCTGCCTGGTCTCACCTACCTGGACTTGTTCCTGCTCCTTTAGTTATTTGTTCTCTCCTGCTGGCATGTTTATACTAACACATAGCACCCTCAGTATTCCTTTTCAAAACTAGAGAGAGGTAGAATTCTGACCTAGAGTTGAGCAGCCTGCCTTTTTGTTTTTCTGTTGAGGAAACCAGTTCAAAGACTTTTGCTCTTGCCCAGTGGTAGAGGAGTGCTGTTTCTCCCATATTTAGAAGTGGCGAGACTTCCAGACATCCCAGATTTTTCAAAATAATTTAAAGAAACAGCTGAATGCAAAAGGAAAAACATTTGTGAGCATGCTTTAGAGCATGCTCCTGTATCATTTAATTAATATTTGCTGCTCCTTTTATAGATTATTTTTTTGGAGGGGGGTGCTAGGGATTGAACTCAAGGGCATTCGACCACAGAGCAACATTACCATTCCTATTTTGTATTTTATTTACAGACTGGGTCTCACTGAGTTGCTTAGTGTATCAATCACCATTGCTGATGACTGACTTTGAACTTGGGATCCTCCTGGCTCAGCCTCCTGAGCCGCTGGGATTACAGGTGTGCACCACTGTGCCTGGCTTCCTTTTATAGTTTTAAGTTAACCTTATTGATTTGTCATTATGAGCCAAGCACTCTGCTATACACTTACATATGTTTACTCACTCCATCCTCCAAACAACCTCAACAAGGAGGATGTATACTTCCTATTTTATAAGAATTCTTATTTTACAGATTTGGTAACAGAGGCATGCAGTAACTTGCCCAGAGTCCCACCCACAGCTAGTCAGTACTGGAGTTGGTATGAAAAAACAGATTCAAACATCAGGGGTACCTGCTTTGAGATGTTGATGCTTCTAGGTACAAAATACAATGGAGATTTCGAAGGCATGAGGACTGGCCTCTAGGGTGGTGATTCTCAACCTCACTGAACTCAATGGATTTTCCTTAGAACAAATATTTTATGACATTACTTTCACTGTTTGAGAATGAAATTCATAGAGAATATAACTCACAATACCCATAATTAAAAAAAAAATCAATGCAATGTCCTGATGGTAAATAGAAAGGAGAAAGAAAAGGATGTTAACTTATTACGAAGTATAACAACTTGGACAGACTTCACAAAGAACTCAGATAATAATCCCTTATACAGTATCACAGTGTTGTAACAGCTCCAATTACAGGTGGATGCAGGTTTATTAGACTGGCAACTTAAAGCAGTTGCACTATAGCTATTAATGTGAATTCTTCAAACAAAGCAAAGTTTGATTTTCCTTTGATTTGTACTGTAGTTGTATAGCTGGAAAATTCAATCTAAAATGAAGGTAGTGCAAAAAGTACTTTGTCCACAGGCAGAGTGGGATTGCGTTTTCCACTGATGGGAATGGTGGGACATTTCAAAGTCATGCTGATGGATAATAAGTCTTTATTGTGCAGACTGCCCTATGCCTTGTATAGGATCTCTGTTATAACAAAGTTCCTTACAATGAAAGCCAGGAGCATACCCACCACCACCCCAAACATTCTTCACCAAAGACCCCCTCTCCCCCAACACACCATTCCATAGTGTCCTCTGGAGACTGCTCCTTCTGAGGACTATCTAGTTCACCAGGTTTCTCTAGTGGTTGTGCTTTAATTTGCCATTCCTTTGGAGAGCAGTTGATGTCCATCAGTGGCACAAAGGCTAAGGAATTCATAGAGAGCTTGTATCTGTAATTTTGCCTGCCTTAGCAGGATGCCCCAATCAATCAATCAAGTTAACTGGCCATAAATTGTTTAAAATTAGGGAGATATTGTGTACCTCATTAATATGGTATTCATTTTTCCTTCCATATTTTTAATGGTGCATTATAGTTGTACATAATGGTGGGATTTGTTGTTACATAGTCATACACACACAATAGAACAATATAATTAAACCAGTATCATTCCCCAGTATTTCCCCTTTCTCTTCTGTCTTCCCTTCCCCTGGTCCCTCTGCTGATCTCCCTTAGATTTTCATGAGCTCTGCCCCCACACCTCTGCCACCTTTTTCATTTTTCTCTCTAGCTTCCATGAGAGAAAACATACCATCTTTGATTTTCTGAATTTGGCTTATTTTGCTTAACATTTGAAATTTCCAAGGACATGCTCCCCACCATCTGCCACTACCACAAAATCCAGTGGAAATTTGTTTGAAGCTTTCATTGCTATCACAAAGAATTTGAGTACAATCTCCTAAAACCATGATTATTGGGAAAAATAGAATTCTGTTCTGAAAAGTAGTTAGTTATGCCAGTAATGGGAAATCACTTATTAAGCATCATGTATGTCCCAAATGCTTCATGAACTGTATCTTTTCATATGAAGTGTGGACTGTTACCAGGCCTATCTTAGAGACAAAGAAATCAAGGCAGGACAGTTAAATACCATGTCCAAGGACACATAGACAATAATAGTAGAGCCAAGATTTGAATGTAGGTGTTCTACTTAGCAATTGCATATTCTTTGTGACATTGGTCTTTGACGGCCTAATTTTCTCAGGAAAAATAATCCAACCTCCTTTTCAGAAAATCGACTTTGGGAAAAAATGATTATGTAATTCATACATATCCTGGGGTTGTAATAGAGTTTGTGCCACAATAAGAAAATGTGTACCAAAAACATGAAAAGATATATCCTATGATACACATTTCTCCCATTACATGTCAGAAACTTAGGACTTCAGAGGGGAGTTAAGCATGGATTCTGAGCCAGCGTCTGGGTTATAGCTTTCTGGCTTTGTTACTTAAGTACTGACTTTGTGCCCCTGCTGTTTCCTCATTTGTAAATCAGGGATATTAATAGTACCTTTTTGCTCAGGGTTGCCTTAATAAGTAGTTAAGAGACTATCTCAAATTATTTGCATTCTAGCAGGGAGGGGCTTTTAGTAAGTTAATGATAAATCACAGAGGAAATAACACAGAATAAAAATGAAAGACTGAATACTGTGGGAAGGCAGACATCATTCTTGATGAGGGGCAGGGAGCAGAGAAAACGACCCATTTTTGATAGAGCTAGTCCTTGATAACCCATGGTCCCTTTTGACATCTGGCTAACTTCCTGTTACTGCCAAGGCCTCCGCCATGGTGGGAAATCCTAATTGGCATTGGTCAGCTTTTTATTACTAGAATGAAATATCTGTGTAAAATTAAAAGCTTTACCTTGGCTCTCAGTTTTGGAGGTTTCAGTCCATGATAAGTCACCCTATGGCTTTGGGCACATCATGGTAGAAATGTGTGTCACAGCAAAACTGCTTACACCATGAGCCGGAGAGCAAAGCAAGAATAAAGGAGGGCCCAGGTTGCCCAACCCCCTCTGAAAGGATGTCCCCAATGATCTAAGAGCCTCTCATTAGGCCCCACCTCCTAGAGTTTCCACCACCTTCCAACATCACCACTCTGAGGACCAAGCCTTCAACACAAGAGCCTTTGGGGACATTCAAGATCCAAACTATAGCATGGGCCATTTATCCTGTGCTTCAGAAAACATATTTAACACAGTAAATTTGTTTTAAAATTTATTATTCATTTTAAAGTCAATATGCTTTTGTTGTCCCAATGAACAGATTTTTCCTCTTATTTTTCTCATATTTACTCTTAATTGATGTTATTATGAGCTACTTCTGCTGGAGAATTTCTCAGATTGAGATGAATCTGTGGGAAATGTTTTAAAATGAGAAGGTCATCCAAAAAGCTTTCTGAAAGTGTATATAAACACAACTAAGAATTTGGTCCATTTCATTGGGTTGAGCTGTTTACTTTTGCATAATATAAAAAGTTTATTTAGCATATGTTCAGGAAAAGTAAGAGTTAACAGGCATGTTAAGCGATTAAAGGAACAAACTTAACATTTTTATATGTGTGTGGCTATTTTAAGATTGTAATTAAATGTTCATTGTTAATGAAATTATTCTGATAGGGAATTCTTTTTTTTTCTTTTTTATTGTTGTTTTAATTAGTTACGATAGGGAATTCTTTGACTTGCAAGTTACACAATTTATACTTGAGAGTGATAGACTGAATGTTAAGAAGTATTTCATGTTTTCTAACAATTTTTTATTAGTGGCTTGTGAAATTATCCAGGTGAGGACAACATTTCTTCATTAAAGTGAGGTGGCTGTGTGTGACTGAAACGGAAGCTTTAGGTGAGAAATGCCATAAGCAAAACAAAACAAACTTTAAGTGGGGTGATGTATTGGATTTATGGGAATATATTTCTAATTTGCTGTTTCCTTTATGGTAGGTAAAGGTATCTTAAACGAACCAGTCAGTATAAACACAGCTTGTTTTAAGGGGAATGGTACTGAATATGAACATTATATGATACAATTCATGATAACTTTTCCAGAAATTGTATCTTTGTCTGTAGACCCACACCCAATTGTCCCTGGGAAGACTGTGAAGAGGACCAGGGAGCCCAAACAGCTAAACACTTGTGGCCTCAGTCTAAAAAAATCAGCGGCTCATCAAATTGCTACTCCAGGTGCCCCTCTGTGAACTAATCCTATTCCAGCAAATTACTGATTTGAATTGAAACCTCATTGATTTGGCTTTTACAAAAGGAGTCTTTATTTATTTATTTATTTATTTGGTGCTGGGGATTAGAACCCAGAGCCTTGTGTATACGAGGCAAGGACTCTACCAACTGAGCTATATCCCCAGCCCAAGAATGCTTATTTTTCATAAGCTGTTGTTCTTATTTCTGGTATTTTCCTGCACTTTTGGTTTATATGTTCAATTTTATCACTTTTTGGTTACCTCCTTCAAATGTTATTGGTGAAAGTTGGCCACTTTCTCATGCACTAGAAAATAAAAATCAGTTTAGAAAACCTAAGAAATTCATCCAACAGGAAAGAATGGAGACATGAATTAGCTGTTCACTTGCAAGTTGATTTAAATATGTAATGGGGACAATCCTGGGAGGCTTTCTGACTGAAGACAAAATCCCTCTTACCAAATTGGCGTTAATATACTTCATCTCATGTTTCACTTAGTTGGATTAAAATGAAGGGATATTCTGTATACCACGGGGGGTTGTAGACAAAATATATTAAAATGCTATTAAATGGATATACCTCCTCAGACTAGTTGCTGGGATTTGAAGAATTTATAAAGGGATATAAATCTAAAACTAGCAAACAAAACTTCTACAACTTTCTTTATGTAATGGTAAAGTTTATTTCATTTTGAATAACAATTAGAGGACAAAATGTTTAAAATTTGCAGTTTAAAACATGCACATTCACAAAAGGCCAAAGACACGTAACACTGCATAGAAATGAATATTACTCAACTTTAATAACTATTTATAAAACACAGTGCATTTTACATCAAGATAAACAAACCTGAGAAAACTACTATAATCACAAAATCGACACTCCTCACTCATGCAGCTTTACGATTTCTACAGCAGTTTCAGCAGGAATGGTTTCTTATGGAGCTGAAAATACTACTTTATCTTTAATGCAAACTGCAGTTTTTCATAGCTGCCTTCCAAGGMTGCCTTTTTATTTTTTACCTAATAAACCTGAAAATGTGAAAAATGAAGCTTGAAGTAGTTAAACAACAAACAGTATTTACTACATTTATGGCTTCTATTCTAGAACCATGAAACATAAAAATAAATATTTTTAATAATCTGCCCACATCTTTGCAAGGGCAGACTTACCTATGGAAAGTTGTTGTTGATTCAAAATAAGCAAATGTGAAATCTAGTTTTTTTTCCCATTTAAGGGAAATTTATTTGCTGAGAACTTTTGTGAGCTTTATTAAGAAAAGTTCTCAGAGGCAAGTTAAACAAAACAATCAATTAAATTTGTTCAAATTTGTTTGTAAAATTTATTTATTTATTAAAATGTTGTATGGAGGACCAATTAATGTGTCCACTGAATATTAAATTTCAGATAGGCCATGACAGGATTTGATAAGGCAGAAATAAACATTAGATTTATAGCAATAGCCATGCACTGGCCTAGATCACTTTAAATATTAATTCATGCAAACCATAAACCTATCAAAAACACAGCTGCTCTCATACGGAAAATAAATCAAGATGAAAAATGGAAAACATTTATTTCCTTTCCTTCAAAATTTAGCTTACATTCCATTTTAATAGCTGTTGAAGGTTAATTAAAATGCAGCAAAGTATAACTAAGTTTCACAAGGGACCTCAGTTATTTTAATGTGAGAAAAATCAGAGTATGGTATCTTTAAGAGGCATTATAGAAATGCTCATTATTAAAAAGCATGTATTAGGCACTGAACTGCATGATGTTACTGTCAGTAATTTCCAAAAAGAATTCCGTAGACCTGGTCATTGTGATGTGAATGGGCTGGGCATTTTCATGGTCAACTTTTGTGTAGATGTTTCTTTATAAGATTAAAGATTTATTTAATGAAATAAATTTTAAAACCAAGAACTACCTAAGGGCAACTGCATGAAAATAAACCTCGATGATTTGTAATACCTGTAATACTTATGACACTGTTATAAATAATTTATAAATTACAAACATACAATCTATTACTTTTTGACTAGCATTCATTTCCCGAAAGAACACTTTAAATGACAGGTTGTAAGTGCACACAATGTAGGACAAACTATCATGTGACTTTCCTACTGGATAGTTAGAAGGCTGAATTGAAAGATTAAAATATAAAATTTAATGATAGAATACGGACTGATTTCTATAATTCACCCCCTCCCCAGAAATTAAGAGGAATCACTGATTCCACTCACTGATTATACAACTCGTGTAAATGGCTCACCCTACTTAGCAGAATACACACGAACCTGACTCGCTTAGGAGAAAGTTTTCCAGTGAGTTAGCAACAGTGCTGGCACTGTCTCTCCAGAGCCTGGAGTGGAGGCGGGAGGACAGGAAGCACACTCATAATTTAAAATTTACTACATTCCTGAGAAACACTGTTTTCCTGCTAATAAATTCTACAATATAGCATCTTTCTGGGTGTGAGACACCGACAGATTTTTATATGTATATATAAAAACATTTAGAAATTCCATAATAATACCACTCTGTACTATCCAACATTAAAGAAGTACCTCCCAACTTTCCAATGCTAAAGGAGTGAGGATTTTCTACTACACACAGTATTTTCTGAATTGTAAACATTGTTAGCATTTGCCAGGGTCCCTACGAGGGACTTTGAAACTGAAGAGTACGTGTCCTTTGTTTCAGAATATACATGTTAAAAGTCACTTTGACTGGTTATTTTCATCCTAGTAAAACCGTGCGTCTTTTTACCAATTCAGGAAGGTTAAAGACTTGGGGGGAGTATTTTCTCTAATTTAAGTACTACTATAAAGTTACTGCAATTGCAATGCTATATTTCAAGTTTTATCAAAATGGTCACTCCCTGCCTCCTATCCCTAACCCCACCCAATAAGCAAAGAGATTGACTTAACATCAATTATTCAAAAATAATCATGGGATGAAAAGGCATAAATTAGTCACATTTCAGATCACAAAGGTGTATATTGATTAACCAGGAGTATTCTTTTCATGTTGAAGAGCTCCACCAAAACAACCCATGTTTCAAGATAAAATTAAAATTTTCAATTTTCATGTTTCAGTTGGAAAATTCAGTTCTATTCTAATGATTTGATTCTAAAATTTTGGAGAAGGGTGCCACTGATGAGGGGTGGGGCACAGGGAAACAGCTCTTCTCTGCAAGTGCTCTGGAGTATTTCTCTGGAGGGATGCTCTTCCTTCTTGCGGATTTTTGTGGTTTGGCCTCAACTACCACCCGGGGAGGCCCAGGAAGAGCCTCTTTGAACATCCATTTGACAGTTCAAGTCTGTGATTTCAGAATTTCAAAGATGGTCTTAAGACTCTACACCGGGGGTCTTGCTAGATGTTTTGATTCATGATTCTCTTAATCTGAATCCCCAAATGGGAAGGGTCTGAAAATTGAAGTGTGTAAACCCCCGTGTTTCCTTTAGGTGAGAACTGTGTGTATGTGTTATGACCTCTTATTTGTAGAAATGTACATACTGGTATCTGGCTGCACATACAGAGGAAGAAACAGTATACATGATAATTTTAAATCTTGATCCAGAAATAGGGGGAAAAATATGAAGTGATGAAACTCAGGGGACAGTTTGGGAAATCATCTGTCTTCTCAATTCTAGTGGATTTTCTTTGAAGTATTACCTATTTTGCTGGTAAGTCCACTTAAAGGCAAACAGGCTTTTGAATAAAAGGCAAAAAAGTTTGCTTCTATCTCTGAAATATATCTGAAAACTAGAATTCCTTTTTTTTTCTTTTTAAATGAAAGCATTATTCTAAAAATAGTGTAGAAAACTGGTTGTGTTTTTTAAACAGCCCCTTCACCATTTATCGTTGGTAGCAAAATAGGCATTTTCAGGAGACATCATGGAAATGCTGAAAAAAATTAAGCTGAACATACATTTTAAAACACATTAAATGAACCCTATTCATGATGAAAATGTTCTTTGTAGCATTATGGGCTTGGGTAAAATAGGTATTTTTTAAAATGGGAAAAGTGTACTACTTATTTGTCCTAATAAGCAGTACATGACCAATTTTGGAAACGGCTTAATGAGTGAACTGTCTTAAGGACAGAGACAGTCACCGTAACACATAGTATGCTACATAAGTGAGCAGGCATCTCTAGTGGGAACAAATAGTGAGAACAAAACACATTACAAGAGCTGAGCCTATGCACATTACAGAAGCCCATGCATTGATCTGACACATTATTCCAAGTATCTTAACAGAAAGCTTTGGAAACCCCACATAAATGTGTAATAAGCATAATTTTCTTACAAGGGAAAACTTTAAGACAAAATGACATCACTCAATCTACAGCGGAAGCCAGACTTTTAGAAAAGTCTAAGGGATGATGAGACTATCAGAAATGACTGAGACATAAATAAAATTTTAAAAATCAGCATTGTAACGACAGTCACATTAGCACACGTGCCCTTTAACTTGAACAAAGAAACAACACAAATGACAAAGAAGCACTTGTAAGGCCGAAGGTGCAACATCACAGATTGGAGTAGCAAATGCCTTGAAATATTAATTTTTGCAAATCACTCTCACATTTGAAAAGTCAAGCATGCAGATCTTACAGCAGAACTGGAAGTCAACTTTCTCTTAAATTTCTGGGCAAATGACTACTGAATGAGAAATACACTTACTGAACTTCTTTGGCAAACATTTATCAAGACAATTTTTGACACAAACACTTATTAATGCCTTGTTTAGAAATGCTCAGTAAGGTGAGTCAGTTCCTTAAGAATGCTGGTTTGCTTCAGCATATCCTGAAATCTAGGTCTGGATATCAAGAGTACCTTTAGCTGAACACCATTTTTAGAGCTTCCAAATGGCTGGTTGCCTTGTGGTACAGCCAGTGAACTGATAGTGACAGACCCAGAGCAATGGTGTGAGAAGACCAACCTGCTCTTGGATTAAGAAAACACTCCGGCAAGACATGAGGTCATTTTTAATTTCTGTATACAAAGCCTTAGCGGACACTTTAAAAATCCGAGAAAGATGGTGTTACAGTGCAGCTACACAGCACTATGTCTGTAATGTACGTGGATCTGAAGGCCCATCAAGGAGATGAGCTCAGATCCACCTTTCCTCTCCATAGACCAGACTGGAATTGGTCAGCAGATTGCAGTGACGACCTTAGGTTGCAGTGGCTCTCTTTAGAGATGTAGCAGGGCCTGCCTCTCAGCCAGCCCCTCCCCATCACCACTCATCAGGCCTCTGTTTTGTGGTATCATAGGCTCTAATCACTTCAGACTGTGAAACGATTCCATTTTCATCTTGAGAGAAAGCATACCCATCTGTATGTTAAGGATAAAACAGAAATCATCATCATGAAGTTGCTGGAAATCACTGTTATTCTGAGTTTTGAGTACATATTGTCTAAGTTGAAGAACTAATGAATCCTCACCACCTTCAAAGGCACAAGACACTAATTTTTAATGTTTGGAAAAAGACACAGACTCAGCTGCAAAATGGAGAGTGGAATGACTAGGTTGCTCACGTAGTTTCTATGTCTTCTGCTCTGTGTTCAAGTGGGCAGGTGCCCTCAAATCCCCCTCAGCCCTTTGCTCTGCTTCTCAAGTCCACCCTCCCCACTTCTTTTTGTTTCCCCACTACTGGAGTGGGTGAGGGAATCTAGGGGAGCAGGTGCACACATTTCTAGACGGGTCAGGGGGGGTGAGAGTGATGGAAAAGCCATGTGCAGGAAGGGAGGGAGGCATGGTTAGCTTGATTTAATACTTCCACCATGTAAACAGGTCAAAACATCACATCGTTCTCCATAAATATATACAATTATTTGTTCATTAAAAAAAATGGCAGAGGAGAGAAACACAAATAGCTGCTGATGGTGGGAAAGTGGTTGCTTCCTATGGGTGACCTTCTCCTGGGCTCTTAGTGTCTATAAAAGAACTCACTTATGTCCCAACATGGTTGGAGGGAGCTTGGAGATAAGAAGTGACCCGTAAGGGGATTACATCTTTAGAAAAAGCCACCAGAAGTAAAATGAGCAAAAGCATTAAACATTTGAAAAAAATATATATATAAACATAAATCATATGTGGAAACAACATGAAACCAAAGATATATTACTAACTCAAATAAGTTCACTATGGAGCTTTATATATTAGATTCTCTTTTAGATCCTTGAAATGTTTAGAGAATTATTTCTTACAACTCTATTCATAAATATTTTTGAAGAGGAAAATATATGTTTCCTTGTGCTATATGAAAGCTGAAAAGCTCTAGCAAAGTTATTCAAGTAGAAAAGATAACAACAGAGAGGCAGCTTTTAGGAGTTAAGATTTATCTTACTGGTTCTTTTGAAGATTTAAGGAAACAAGGAATGTGGAAATATCCTTGTTTTTCTTTTAAGCAAAACAGAGAGATTTTAAAATGCTCCATTTATAAATAGTAAGATGGTTGTGATCCACGAGTGCTTGTTAATTATTTAGACAACATGTTGCAGATATGAAAAACTTGACTTAGGTGTTGATTTTAAATCGTTAAAGTCAAAATACTGCTCTGATAAATGCCAGGAGACAGTAATGGAAGAGAAAGAGAATTGATTTAAAGTAAATACTTACGGAGCAGGTTTTGTTGCAATGACTCCGAGCGGTACAAATTTACATGGTTCTTCTTAAAGACGTTCTTGAGCAGTTGTGCTCTTTCGGTGAGGCTGTGGGAACAGGTGCAAACGTGTGAAATGAATTATCAACTCAGCGGAGCCAGTGGGTCCCCTGGGAGCACCAGGGAAAGTGGACTCAAACAAAAGAGCACTCCAGCCCCACCATTCTTTTTACTCCATTTTCTCCAACAGCAAATGAGATTTCATGTCTTTGGAAAGACACTTATAAGGCTATTTTCCCCATAGCTAAGGAAGAGTTTTGTCTCTAATAAAAATCCAGTAAAAAGTGAGATTTCCTCAATCCTCTGTGTTCTATGAAGTCAAATGGAAATTCAGAACCGGTACAACATAGTCTTGTTAGTAGAAATCCTAAAATTATGCAAAGAACACATTTTACAGACTTTTTAATTAGAAGCATCCTAATTACCATTCTACTAGGGTTTAAAATGTATCTGAATTTCATCTTAAAATAGAAAAGTATTTTCGGAAAAAAATTATAGTAGGTTAAAGAACAAGGAAAAATATTTATTTTTCCATAAATGTTTAGAATGATATCTACAGATATAAATCTTGAAATCAAATTAGGCCACTTCTAAACCCACGCTGTGAAGATCATGCATCTGCCCCGCGTCACCACCCCAATGCACATAAAACAGTGCCTCACATGATAGCAACTCAAATATTTGTGGAATAGATGAATTTGAGTAATTCTGAAATGTACTGAACAACATCATTAATCTTCCCATTCCTCTACTGGTTGACTTACTCAAAACTCTGCTTTGATATCAAAGGATGCAATAAGCACTACCAGTTATTCACATGTGTTAGAGCAAATGTTTACATGGTTTTGTTTTAATAACTGGATCTGACTCAGATGAAAAATTTCTATCTTGCTTTTCTCCCACTAAAAAAGCTTTAGTTAAGTCTCTTACAGCAATTTACATGAAATAATGTTGGTTCTGTTTTTACCAATTTTTTTGAGATGCTGAAATGGAATAATGCCCTATAAAGAATCTTCTACAAAGTGAATTCACTGTGTAAATGAATCACACATTCATTTAGGCAAAAACTGAAGGAAAAATATTTAGAAATGTTGACATCTGTAGTAATCTTCTACACATTTTTTTTAAAGTCTGGGGATATTAACTAATACTTATTAGACATATTTTATTGTCACTGGGAATTAGCTGCATTAAAACCAGAAAACGAATCTAAGACTCCAGTGGTTCTATAATCAGTTGCAAAACTTGTTCCTGTCAGTGACATAAACAGCTATAAAGAATGAGAAAGGGCCATTTGAACCAAGTCCCTTTTCTTACTCTACCCTTTAAATGCTCTAACATTACAGGCCCCTGGACTCTGAGGGATACTAAAATATGTAACTGCTCTGAGGAAGTGGGCTGGCTTAACAGCAGGAGGTCTTATTTTGTGAGCAGAGCTTTTGCGGATGGGGTGCCTAGCCATCTCTGGTGTTTGAGATGACTACAGAGGACTGGGGGATGGCAATGTATCATGATGCCATCTTCTTCTGCCCCAAATATACTTTTCAGGCTTCAGGCTGGAATTCCTAAATGCACTAGACCTTTAATACTATAACACTAAAGTGTTAATGAAGAAAGAAGAATTCTACCTTTCATGTTAATGGCAACTGAAACATATAAGATGATGTCATTTTTTGTTTTGTTTTTTTTTTAGCACTAAAAAAGTCTTTCTTGTGAAAGTAGTACATTACTCAAGAAAAGCTTAGGCTTTGGAGTCTTATTTTGGTTTGATTCTGAGTCTGATCCTTATTATAGGTAAACCTTTCTCAGTCAGTCATCTCTTAGGTAACAGGGAGAGGACAATACGTAAAACAGGCAGACTGTGAGGGTTTAGGAACCTGTCAGCATAGTGACTGACCCTTAGGAAGCACTCAACAAATGCTTTATCCCCCCAGATCCTAAGGAATTTATTATAAAGAACAACTGGAACAGAGATCATCACAAAATGTACTTTGTTAGCTCAATGCAAGACGTCTATTGCCATACATGGGTTTTAATTTCTATAGCCTCATTCCATCTTTTTCTAAGGAAAAGACTGGGCTCTTATTGTTTTGCTTTGTCTTTCCCTAGCTACTTTGAACTTCTTGCTTTAGTTCTTGTAGAGAGAGAAGAGTCCCTCCTTCAGAATATAAATGCCATTCATAGGAGTTTGCTTCATAAATAAGAAGTGATAGGGAATTGCATTCCTCCAGCCCTATCCAAATATTAGGGAACTACTAGTCATTTCAGAATGTATGCAATTCTGTGTCACTAATATTTATAGGTACTGATACAACAACTACCAAGTCACATTATAAAAGGTACTGATCACATTAACATTAATAGATCTATTAAAAATTCAGTTTTTGTTGAACAGCTTAACAGTATGAGAAGATTAAAAAAAAAAAAAGAAAGAAAAGAAGATAACTTCTCACTAAAACCTCATCAATTCACATCTTGTACCTAGTAGTTTTACTCAATCTGTGGGGCCTTTCATTTACATACCAAGCTATGCAAATTCTAAGTTTGTTTGATGAAATTACAAAGCAACTACCATTTAAATATTGCTACTTTATTTCCAAACCCTGGAAAATGTTGCAACTTGGTTATTTGGTGGAGAAAAGTGAAAAGATACTACATTTGAATGTAATATTTTTCTTAGACACACTAAAAAAAAAAGTTAGTGCTTGTAAAAATCCATTGACATTTCTGGAATGTACTGGAATACACTGTTTTAAGGTAATTTAGGTGATATTTGAAGGGTGGTAAACTTGGCATTTGTCTATATATTGGCTAGGCAAGCTATTTTTGTTGACTCATTAAAATGAATCTCCAGAAATTTATTTATTGAATGTTTAAAGAACAGAATGTGACAGCTATCCTGTGCTAAGCAGGAGTGGTGGTGAGAAGATGAATGATTGTAACAGGCCTGGTCTCTGCCCTGGAAGAGATAACATTTCATCCTTCTGTCCCTTTTCTTTATAAATGCTGGGAAGAAACATTTCCTCTGATGAGAGTAGGATGAGGAAAAACATTTGACACATCCCTCTACCTTCAATCCCCTCCGGTATTTACATCATACTGACATAAAATTAAGTGTGAAATCGAGTAATACAATTTCTATTAGTTCTGAGGTGACAATAAAATTGCCTTTGGTTAAGATAAACAATACAAAGAGAGGCTGGGAGCCAGCCACCTCACTGTCCATGTGACCAATCGATCTGATGCTCCGCATCCCCTGTGCTCCTTTACGCTAAGGCTGTGGGGTCAGACAATGTGATGGGCAAATTGATGAGGACAGGCCTGAAGATCTTAGCATGAGCTTCTAGTTAGTGGACACTGGTGAGGCTATGCTGGTAATGTCTACGGCTAGAAAATCAAGAAAATCCAGAGTCTTATGACTATATCTGCCTGTCTGTAAAATGCAAGGCTTCACACACACTCCGATGATACTCTAGAATAGTTGCCCCATCTCCAACAGCACACAGTGTCTATAATCCCTCACTATAAACCTTAAGTTTTTGAATTCAATTTTTTTTTGGTTTGTTTCAGAAATGGTAAGATGTTACATCCATCCTATGAAAGTAATACTGAAGTGGGATCTGGAAGGCTCATTTTCCAAAAAAGTTAATATTTCTGTTATAGAGGTACAAACCTTTACACTGTAGAATAAACACTTCAAATGTCTTTATACTACTAATAGGACAAATGGCCCAGAGTTTTCTACCAAATGTTTATTAAAAATATGTAGAAAAGGAATGTTGGATCTCAAGAGTTTTAAAAAATTTTGGAAATGTAGAAGTTTCTGGTCCCTAATGTTGGAGCATGTTCATGTAATAGCTATCATGTGGCAGCTACTGCAAAGCACAGGGTTTCACCATTAGGAGCAATTTTCTCTTCCATAAACAAGAAGCCAGTGTTGGGCTTGTGGCACATGCCTGTAATCTCAGCAGCCTGGGAGGTTGTGGCAGGAGGATCATGAGTTCAAAGCTAGCCTCAGCAAAAGAGAGGCACTAAGCAACTCAGTGAGACCCTGTCTCTAAATAAAATACAAAATAGGGCTGGGGATGTAACTCAGTGGTGAGGTTGAGTGTCCCTGAGTTAAATTATTCCCCACCCTCCAAAAAAAAAAAAAGAAGCCAAGGCTTACACCAATCAGGAATAAGTTTGGGCTATTCTCCAACATTTCAGACTTTAATTGCTTTCTACCATCATCCATGGCTCATGGGTAATATACTTAGATTGATGAAATATACTTTTTCCTTTAATTTAATGGAACATATCCAATTTGCTAGATGACATGGTAAGTGGCATACTATTATTACTAGAAAGGATTAGTTACTATACAAAGACATTCTCTTTTTTAAAAAAATGTTTTTAGTTGTAGGTGGACACATGCCTTTATTTTTATTTATTTACCTTTATGTGGTGCTGAGGATCGAACCCAGTGCCTCACCCGTGCTAGGTGAGCATTCTATCACTGAGCCAGAACCCCAGCACCCCCGACATTCTCATGTTTGAAAATAAAAAGATGAGAAATTATTGTAAATATTAATCTTCACATGTTTAGCTTTGACATATTTGCATTCCATACATAATTTGAGCATGACAGCAGTCTGTAGGGATGATCAACTCAGAAGATTTTTCTAAAGAGCTGACTCATGACAAAGTAAGCAACTGCTGCTTTGGACTTGACCTACTTTTGGAAGAATAAGTTATATAATTCCATGTTTCATGTATGATTATTTCATTCCCTACAGGTCAAGCATGGATTCATCACCCATCTTGCACTCATTCAGTCAACCACCCATTTTCATCCATTCCTTAGTTTATTTCTTTGGTGATTCATTCATCTGCTCAACAAGTATTTACAGAGTGCTACTGAGTTCCTGGAGCTGGGTTAGCTGTTGGGTCGCAACAGTGACTAAGACAGGCCTTTCCTTTAAGGCGCTCAATCTAGTAGGGTAAACAAATGTACCTATGGTAGACCATACAATTTATTGCAATGCAATAAATGTAACAATGGAAGTTTATACAAAATATAAAGACACTAGGCTAGGAATTCTTTAATTTTATATGTGAAAAGTTGACAAAACTGCGACTGAACTGGCTTTTGAAAGGTAGGAACTGGAGTGCCCAGTCTGTAACAGGGGAATTGGCTCCCGGACAAGGGAAGAGTACATGGTCAGACTGGGAGGCATAAAATATCACGGAGTTTTGGAACAAAAGACATCTGAGACTGCTAGAATATACAGAAATCCTAATTTCTCCACTTTTCATAGTGTAGATAAAATTTGGTGTTTTGAAATCTGATATTAATTTTATTCTTTAACATTCCCCAAATAATCCTGGTCCTACAGCCCATCTGACAATTCTTTACCTGCCTTAGAATGTAACTGGTTTAGCACAAGAACTTTTCTGTCCAGCTGCTATCTTTCTTCTCTCCCAGACCATTTTCAAAAACCCCTCCTAAGTTATCCTCTAGCATGAAGCCACTATGCTCATGCTAATCACCAACCTGATCACCAACAGGCAGAGATGGCAAAAGGGAGTTCTGGGCTGTACCAGGTGTTTGTCGTATTCATCTAACAGCTAACTCATTCCTGAGTTCTTCAGAAAAGATGAATGGCTATTTTAGGCAAGCAATCTGGGCAGCAGCAGGGAAATTTATCTGATGTATTTTCTGTGGAGAAGTTAGTAATCATTTATGGTAGAATCTAGTTCTGTCCTTTATAGACTCACTGGTTTATTTTATTTAATGGAAGAGATTACATACACCACAGACTCATTGAATCTTTCAGACTTGGAAGTCAGTCATCATATCAGCCTCCAGCCTGATTATTAATTGTCAAAAGTTTCTGATACACTGCAAATCAGGCAAACTTAGTGTCATGGGGAGGGGCTTAATGTAAGCTTATTAAGACACAAATATGTGAGAAATTCACTTCAAAGGATAGGAACAGTGTCATCTGTAATCTTTCTCTAATAATTATTACTAAACAGTTTTATTCACTAATTTCTGAGAACTCTTACCAGACCCTTTTTAGTGTGAGATGGGGGTGGATGTGGGGAGGTGAGAAAGAAAACCTTATTAAAGGATTGTGGATGCCAGACCAGGGACTGCATGCTTTCCCAAGAGGCAGATTTTCAGATGGAGCCGGAGGTGGAGGGAGGAGAAAGCCTGCAACTCTGAAAGTAAGTATTGCCATTCTCATCGACACACAGGGCCACTGGCTTAAGAGGTTACATACTTTGTCGGGATACCAGAGGGCTGTTTTTGCTACTGTACCACACTCAAAAAATCAGCCAAAAGAGGCAGAATAGCAAATGGTTTAGAGTGGGAGCTCTATAATGAACTGGCACGGACTCACGGCCCACCTCTGATAGACGTAGGAACTTAGTCTTTCTAGGCCTCAGTTTCATCATCTGAAAAAAAATGGAGATGATCTATCTACACAGGGTTGTTATAGGGATTCAATGAGATAGTGCATGTTCACTGCAAGTGAAGCACCTGGAAGGTAGTGAGTGCTCAACAAATGTTAGTGCTATTATTTTCTAAAGAGAGACTCACACAGGTGTGCAATATGCCCTTTGGCCTAAGGAGAGGAAGACAGAACTGGAGGCCAAGGTCTCAGGCTTGAGTCCCCAGTCTGGCACCTACTCCATTGTGTCATTGTGAAAATACGGGGTAAAATTGGGAGTTCATAACCCACTTGAGTCAAATTGTGAAATATGATGTATTAAGAACTATGTAATGTTTTGAACGACCAACAATAAAAAGAAAAAAAAAAAAAAAGAAAATACCGAATCAGGATTAAGGTGACATACACCAGGGTAAAATAGTTCCTATGGTTCAGACAAAACTTTTGTTCCCTTTAGTATGATGAAAGGAAAAAAAAATGGGATTATTTTCATAATTGTTTTTTTTACAGAGTGCTTTCAACTAATTTCCTTTTTAATAATGCTTTGAGAATTTAGTGAACTCAATTAGCTAACTTGGCTTTTTTGGTGGGTGGTGGTGGTGGTGAGGAAGGAAACTTGGAGATAAAATTCACTTCATAGATGACGTGTATCTAGGCTGATACCTGACACACTGAGCCACAAATGCCATTATAGGGACTTTGCCCTAAGTTACTCTATGATGTGGATTATATACTATTTTATTATTGATGTTGTTTCAAGCTAAAAGCCTTTTTCTTCCTTTTTATCTTAATTACAATAATATTTATAACTACCATTTACTGAATGCTCATTGTAAGCTCTGTGCACTATGCTACATGCTTGATAGTATTTTATTCAGTTCTCACAGTATAATTATCATTCCCATTTTATTTGTTAAAAATCAAGGCTCAGTAACATTAAGTAACTTGGCTAAGGTTGCACATAGCTTGGTAAGTGATACAATCCATATCTCTCTGCTTCCAAAATCTGTCAATAATACTGCCAGTTTCATTGTACAGGATAAGTAAACATTTTGCCATTTATTTCCAACCACTAACTTTTACTTGGAAAAGAACACACATAATATGCATCTTACCTTTTCCCAAGCACAACTGCTCCCGGGTCTTGAGATTTGGCTTCAAGCTCCTGAACTTCATCTACTAAGGTTTTAAAAGCCGTCCTCTTGATACTGGGGCAGGAGGGGAAAGGTAAAAGGATTTGCATGGAAATGCTTATGCGACCATAAAACTAGTGTCTAGTTTATTACCAGGCTGTTGATAAGTACAAAAGTAACTGGAGTACAAAATATTTCATCAAAATTTTAAAAATTAGAGTAAAACTGTGCATTAATTATAGGAATAATCTTAAATAAATAGTTTAGATTTATAATATTAAAACTCCTAGAGTTATTAAACACCATGATATTAACTTCAATAATACTTTTTTAAATAGGAAGAGATAATATTTTAAAATTATAACCCTTGAGAAAAATTTTTGTTTTTTCCATTCTCTATCATATATATATATGTGTGTGTGTGTGTGTGTGTGTGTGTGTGTGTGTGTGTGTGTGTGTTGAGAATCAGACAAGCAAAAACTTTCTTTTCATAATTATTAAAAAAAATTGTATTTGGAGACAATAAGTTTTCCCTCTCTCTATTTACAGTTTTTGGCTGATTTCTAAATAATACTTCCTAATGTAATTTTCTCCAATTCGATCAATTCACTTCTTCCTAATATTAAAGTAACTGCTTCTCATTTGATCTTCTAAGCTAATTTTTTAGTGCCTAAATCATGCTTTCTTCTTTATTTAAAATTAATATCACTAGTTCACAATTTGCAAACTACATGCTTGAGTTGATGTCTCCATCAGAGAAATGTGAGGGTCAATATGCACCTGTGTTTCCATGTGTAGAACCAGGTGTTAATACTTACACCTTGTACACCACGTCCAGAAGCAAAGATGCCACAGGAATAAATAGCAAGCCCGTCCAAAAGACTCCCGAACTGAACAGCATGGCTGCCTGCGTCAATCAATCATCAGAAACAATAATACTTCAAAAACCAAGAAAAACATTGTTCATGTTCAGTTCTTATTATGACTTCAGTCAAATAATTTTAAGGATATAATTCTGTAACTGTAACTGAGAGTTCAAACTTGTGAAAACATTTGGAATTTAAAGCTGCATGTGTTAAAACATTCATTTACCACATCTTTTCCCCTGCTCTCAAGCAGCTAATAGAACAGTGTTTATGTACCAAATATTTTCATATTTTTAAAAGAAAGTTTTATTATTGTGGTCAGTATATGGAGTGATAAACCTTGATCTTTTACAACTTAGAATATCAACATCAATTTTTTGGAGCAAATTTAAAATACATTCTGGATTAAATTATAATAATATAACAGGCAAAATGAATCTCACACTAAATTTACTAATTCTTACAAATGAAAATCAACTCTACTTTTGTATCAAATTAAAAGAGATTAAACATCTGGATAAATCATTACTATGAAAATCACACTTTGATTAGTTTTTGGCTATTAGGAATAATCTGAGTTTTTGTTCAATGATTTATATAACTTGTATTAGTGTATATCAATTATGCTCAAGTCAAACAAATATCTAGTGTGTAAAATCCAAATACAAGTATATTAAAATATCTTTAATAATTCCATTTTATTTAAATCTCACATTGCCATATCAAAGCCTTTCAGGTTGTAATGTAATTAGATTATACAGAGCTTAAAAGAAATAGTGTTGCACAATAAAACCTAAGGAAATATTTTGGTTTTATTTCTTTGAGTCTATTTGTTTATCAAGAATAAATTTGGAGTACCTATTTAAATTCGTAAGTGTATTGTTATAATTCCATTAAAAAGTAATCAACTAACACATGCACATTCACATCCTGCTATAAATCACACAGGAAATTTCTTTTTCATTTTTTACCAGATATGGCTGAGGAATTAAAAATGACCTAGCTTAATCCTTCTATGCAGTTTCACAATTACACATAAATAATCTAAATTAATCAATCCTTATCAAATATAAAGACAATTAATTTAAAATTGATATTTCAGATTACTTATTCATTTTGACTCTCAACTAAGGACCAGAAACTGCTTAAATTTTTTTCTGTACTAATACATGTTCATTGATAGAGACCCTCAGTTCAAACACGCTAAGGTTTTTTTTTTTTTTTGCTATATAGGACTGAAGAACTCTGAGCACATTTAAAATAAAAACACGCCACTACAAAAAATTTCAGAAAATAAAAATTTGCCATGGGGGTTGCACAGAATAGTATCCATAAGCTAAACAACAATAAGGTAAAAAATATTCACATAAAAGTCACTTTATTTAATAAGCAAGACATGATCCTGGACATGTTTGCTGACATCCTCAATAGTGAAAACCAACAATAACTATGTAATAGGAAATGTCTATCAAGTCAGTGGTTTTGTTTAGATTGAAGGAAGTTTTCTAGTGAGGTTAATGGCTGTAAAAAAAAAAATAACCCCCACATTTCTTTTCCTTCTGGGGTGGGGGAAAGGTAAGATCAGATGTAACCAAAAATACCACATTTACTTGGCTTACTTTTAATATATTTTAATGTGGGGGGCAAGAGAAGAAAGATTTATTCTTGCCTTCACCACCTTGCATTAAATGTCTGCTGGCGGAAAAGGCGAAAGTGGTGGACAGACTCGGGGCTGCTAATTCTGACTATTGTGATGCTAACTATGAATGGAGGGGCAACTGGCGCCCACTATTCAGTCCACCAGCCTTTGGCTTTACAAATGAACGACATGAATTGAGGGGAGAAAAGTTTTTCTGCGTCATATCTGAAAGCCTGTCAGATTTTTTTTTTTTTCTTTTGCAGAGTTAATCCAAACCTAAAAGATTTAAAGCCGACATTCGCATTTAAGACAGAGAGTCTCTTTGTATTTTTTGGATGACGAGGAGGGGGGTGAAAAATAAAATCCCACAGAGGTATTTCCTTCCTTTCTGTACAAGAAAGCTCCCCCTCGCTCCGTAGAAACCAGTTTTGTTTCTAACTTTCCTCATCTCCCCACTCACAGGCAGGTCAGCTGGGAAAAGAAGACAATGGGGGTAACAGGAGCAGCCTGTTCGGAGCTGGACTCAGGCTCCCTCCGAGAGCAGTCTGCAAACCCCCCCCCCCCCGAATGTGGGAGATTGGTGGGCCGTGCCAAGTGGCCCCCAGCACCCCTCCTGGAGACCCTGTGAAATTTGCCACAAAAGTGGCCCCGAGGGGGCTTGAGAAGGGATCAGCTTGGGGTGGGTGGGGGCACAAAGCTGGTAAACAGGAGGGCATGGGCCCTGCATGGGGAACAAGCAACTGCTTGTCTCTGCAGAGGACGCTGGCTCTAAATCGGACCACAAGGGCTTCAAAAATAAACCAATGCCGACTGAAAACGCAACTGCAGCAGAGAAATTGTTCTGAAATTTCCATGTGAACGTGTAGGGAAAGAATGGGGAAATATGAGCTTATTGTACATTGGGTCAAGCCTGGGGCATGGAGAGGTAAGAGGGTCTTACCTTCCCACCCACAAGGCAGTGATCCATTATTGCTGGCACCTACATTTCCAACCTGAGAGGGAAACTTCACTTTCCTTGTGCCCAAGTTCATTCTTTTAGGAGACAAGAGTTCATCCTGCCACCTACTTACCACCTTTAGAACATGGTCCTGGCCTACCTCTCCTTTTTCACCAGAAAGCTCAGGGGGGTGTGCTGTCTCTTACTCTTGGATAATGACAGATGACTTTTCATAAAAGAAGGCCCTTTGGAGAAGCTAAGATTATATCCACGGACCCCATCAAGAGCAGGTCCAGTGATAAGCAGCTTTAGAAATGGTCCTGGTTCCACCCCTCCCAGCTATCAGATGGGGGAAGCTACTTCTCAACCTTAGCCTCAGTCTCCTCAGCTATTAAGTGATTGCAAGAATCAAACTCAAGAGTAACCAATAATGTGGCCGCTTTTTAAATATTGATTATTAACCAATTTCCCTTTCTTCATTAATTTTCATATTTCTTTCGACACTCATCTCTTGTTCTTTTTAGTGGTCTGTCCAATGAGTGTCAAGGAAGGAAATATTTTATCTCAATATCAAATTAAGTGTAAGTTTATAAATTTCATAGTTTACACAGCAATATCATTACATATGCTGACTCATCTAATATTTCAAAATGTAATACTGAAATACAGGTCAAAGTAACTGATCACTGATAAAGTGCCATTCATCTCAATTTGTTGATTTAGGAAATGGAGATAGGTTGTTTTTTTTTTTTTAAATAGAAATTATTACTAACTGCACAGGCAAAATATATTACGCTGGGAAAATTATTCAGAAAACAGTGCTGCCAAACTTGGTTTGTTATTTTTAGAGGAGAGTGCAGGAAGTGAAATTAATATAAATTTTAAAGGCATCAAGAGTTAATGAAAGCAGTAACGACACTAAAAACAATAAAAACAACAATCAAAAAAAGTGTCTGGCTTTCTAAGATTAAAAATGAAGAAGGAAAAACACAACAACCCCACAAAGGGAACTGGTTTACCAAAAAATGTAAAACTTCCATATGTTCACAAAGAACTTAAAGGAGTGGTAAAAATAGATAAAATTCTGTGTTAATATCTCTGATCATAAAAATAACCAACTTTTCTTTATAAGAATAGATGAGATCCCAAGAGATTGGCAGAAGACCTGGAAAGTATTCACTGAAGTAGCAGCAAGCAATTAATAACATAGTGCTGGGCCTCTCTGGGCATAAAACAGCACCAAATTACATCAGATTTTAAAAACTCACTACCACCGTTGGAAGGGGGTGAGATTGGGTAATGGTGGAACAAATAGATCTGTACAATTTATCTTATCACCAGCCATATATTAGCTTTTGAAAAAGGCATTTGACAATGTGTATCCATGTCACAACCTTTCATTCCTGCTAATTTGATAATTCAGTTTCTGAACTATGTGTTGAAGTCAGGCACTGCTTTTGCTTGTAGGTTAATATCTCATGAAACTGTTCCGTGGTCACTAGTCTTGAAAGCATTCCTCCCTGCAGAAGGGCTCATGTCCCGAGGTTTAGTAAAGATGTAAAGAAACTGCAGCAGCAGTCTGTGGGAGAGTCAAGTGCAGAGTAATTTAGGTCAGTCTTCTAGAAGCCACAGGAAAGAACCCCATGGAACGATATTTTCTGGGGTGCAGTGGGCTTTACCGGATGGCATGCACGTGACAGGAGAGCTCTCTAAGCCCCTCCCTCTCTGTTCAGGGAGGCCTGGAATGGAAACTGGGAGAAGGGGCGATTCTCAGCGTGTTTGGGACTGAGTTGGATGAGGGACTCTTACTTCTTGGAGGCCACATGGACCATAATGTCCACTACCCTGTTGCTGTAGCCAAATTCATTGTCACACCAGGATACGAGCTTGATAAAGTGGTCATTGAGGGCAATGCTGGCCCCAGCATCTAGGGTAGAGGGGTTGGTGTGTCACTGTTAAAGTTGGAGGAGACAACTTCATCCCTGGTGTAACCCAGAAAGACTTTGAGGGGGCCCTCTGATGCCTGCTTCACTAGCTTCTTGAAGTCATCACCTCTGATATCTTTCTTTAGGTGGAAGGTCAGATCCACTACTGACACTTTGGGGGTGGGCACACAGAAGGCCATGCCAGTAGGCTCCCCATTCAGTTCAGGGATGACTTTGCCTACAGCCTTGGCAGAGCCAGCAGATGCAGAGATGATGCTCTGGCAACTCTATCTGCATCATGCCAATTTTCCAGAGGTGGCCATCATTGGTCTTCTGGGGGGGCAGTGTGGCATAGATTGTGATCATGGGTTCTTCCATGATGCCAAAGTTGTCATAGATGACCCTGGCCAGGAGGATAAGTTCCCTGTACTTGGGATAGAGTACAAAATTCTTGATATGACTTGTAGACTTCTCCTATCTGACTTCTCTAGCCCTCCCAGTCCTATCTCCCAAGCTGGTCCCCATCTCTAGTTATACACC